GAACATATAAGTGTATACTCGAGGAATAACTTCAAAAAATATTTTAACTGTCTACTAAAAGAAGTGCTACGCCTATGGATTACGAACGCTTTATTATTTTAATACTCTCTCATACATAAAAATAGACTATAAACATAGTTTTAAAAATGACATTTGTATTTAAAATATAACCTGTTAAAAATGAAACTACTGTTATCTAAATTGAGTTTAAAGCAATCTTTGTACCTTTAGTGTTTCAATGTTTAATGATTTTTAGTTTATTATGACTTGAGATTATTTTATGCTTACCAGAGAAGATATATTGATTTGGTACATTGGGTTTAAAGTTGAAAAATGACTTATTTTTTATTACTATCAAAAGGGACTGATCAATGTTTGAAGGAGGTATTGGTCTAGAATTAGAAAATAGTTTGAATCATGAATAATTGAGAAAAAATTATTTTAGACTGGAATTGTCAGAAAAAAATTATGAAAATTTAAAAACTGTTTGTCATACCTTCATTATTTTGAGAAAATATCTTTAAATTACTTCTAAATATTTTATATGAGAATGAAGGCCAGAGTACCGCAGGCGCAGAGTCTATATTTAAGATGACACTACGAGTGCATATGAAATAAATGAAACTCCTTTCGTTTTCCTAAATTTATATAATGCAGTTTTCAATTTACATAACATGCAAAATATATTTTAGTCCCACTGAAAGTGAGAATCTATAATAATAATTTAACGTTTAATATCTAGAATCATCATTTAGCTATTTCTACTAGCTATGGCAAATTTATTAAAATTTGGAAAGCCTACTAAGTTAAAAATTAAGGGAAAATAGTTTGTTTTTCTCTAGATTTAATTCAAGTAGTTTATGGTGTAACCATTCTGAAATAAGAGTGCAGTCAGACGAATTGGTTATTAATTTCAAACCAAATTATTTTGTCCATAGTTTTCAATTGGAATAATTCATTTATATAAATATTAAAGAGTATGGGTCCTAAAAAAGTACCTTGAGGGACTCCTTAATCTATTTCTTTCTCACTGCTACATTAATCGCCAAATTTTCTTTCTTTTTGATACCTTCTAGTAAGGTAATTGGATGAATAAGTTACCAATTAAAAAAGGACAGGATAAAAAAATCAGTGGAGTATATACTATGTGTTAATCCCGGTATTAGTTAAAAAAAATATATAGGTGAATTAAAAGACAATCTTGTTTAACAGGTCGGAAAGTATACGGTCTGTCGCATCAGGTCTTGATGCGACTAACCTGAACATAGGAAAATCTAATCGATTTGACATATTTGTCTCCTTAGCATATCAACAATATAACTGTGCCTCGGAGAGAAACTGCACTATGTTGAATTACAACAACTTATGTAAATTAAAATAAAAGTAGGAAATTTTATTAGGTTAGTAAAAAATACATAAATATCGTGACAATAAATGGGTGTGTAAATGCATTTCTTGTTAAAATATAATAATATGTAATTATGGAGCCCAAAAAGTGCTCAAACAACATTCAATCTGCCCTGCTAAAAAGTTGACTAGAGTTTACCTCCGAGGCACAGAAGTAGTAATAGCTTATTTATTTATTTGAGGCACTTAAAGGACAAACCCAGAATACTGTCCACGAAAAATATATAAAGAAAATTGATTAATTGAAATAATAGAAAAATCACAACTATGCTACAAATTATTGATGTAAGGTAGGTAGGACTCTATAACAAACGAAATAAGAGCATTTATGCCAATGAAGGCAACAGAGCACCTAGGGAATTTTGAGTTAAAACCTATGCCATATTTTTAGGCTATTTTAAGGCTATTTTTATACCATTTTATGGGTCTCCTAGCTTCGAACGAAACCATCAGAACACCTCGGTTTTTTAAAGCTTTTTCTAAAAACAATCAACACATTTTTAGGCTCTTGAAATTTGAAATATTATAAAACTTTTCTACAAAAAATGATATTTTTAAATGAGCTTTGTTAGAACAAAGGCAGCAGAGCTACTCGGTTTGTAAGTTTATTAAGTTTTTTTAGATTTTTTTACTCGGTTTGTAAGTTTATTAAGCTTTTTTTTAAGATTTTTTAAGTCTTTTCAAGTTTTTTTTAGGCTCTTGAAATGTTATAAAATGTCTCGCAAAAAATTTGCTATTTTTAAAAAGTACAGAATGAAGCTTGCACAATACCTTATTTTTGTAGGCCTCTCTAAAAAAATATACCATATTTTAATGCTATTTTTAGGCTTTTGAAATATTATAAAACTTTTCTAAAAAAATGCTATTTTTAAATGAGCTTTGTTAGAACAAGGATAGCAGAGCTACTCGTTTTTTTTATGGTTTTTGAGGGTTTTTTAAGTTTATTAAGTTTTTTTAAGATTTTTTAAGTTTTTCAAGTTTTTTTTTATCCACACCATATTTTTAGACTATTTCTAGGATCTTAAAATGTCTCGAAAAAAAATTTGCTATTTTTAAAAAATACGGAATGAAGCCTGCAGAATACTTCATTTTTGTATGCCTCTCTAAAAAAATATACCATATTTTAATGCTGTTTGTAGGCTTTTGAAATATAAAATATTCCTAAAAAAATTGTATTTAAAAAATAATAGCAGAGCACCCCTTTTTTTTAGGTTTTTTCGAGGGTTTTTAAAGTTTATTAAGTTTTTAAGATTTTTTAAGTTTTTTAAGTTTTTTTTTTTAACCACACCATATTTTTGATCTTTTTAGGCTCTTGAAATGTTATAAAATGTCTCGAAAAAAATTTGCTATTTTAAAAAAATACGGAATGAAGCCTGCAGAATACCTCATTATTATTGTAGGCCTCTCTAAAAAAAATATACCATGTTTTAATGCTATTTTTAGGCTTTTGAAATATTATAAAACTTTTCTAAAAAAAAACGCTATTTTTAAATGAGCTTTGTTAGAACAAGGATAGCAGAGCTACTCGGTTTTTTTAGGTTTTTTCGAGGGGTTTTTAAGTTTTTCAAGTTTTTTTTTAACCACACCATATTTTAGACTATTTTTAGGCTCTTAAAATGTTATAAAATTTGCTATTTTTAGAAAATAAGGAATGAAGCCTGCAGAATACCTCATTATTATTGTAGGTCTCTCTAAAAAAAATATACCATATTTTAATGCTATTTTTAGGCTTTTCAAACATAAAATATTCCTAAAAAATTGTATTTAAAAAAAATAATAGCAGAGCACCTCATTTTTTAAATGGCAATTTTTTTCAGATTGTTTCATAAGAACTTAAAAATAGCTTAAAGCTGTCACATAGGTAGTTGTTTTTAGAAAAAAAAAAATTTAAAAAACTTTAAAAAAAGATTTTTTTATTGTCTTTGTTCTAGAAAAGCAATGTATATTATTGAAAACTTGAATTTTTTTTAAAAAAAGTTCTATATTTCAAACGCCTAAAAATAGCCTTAAAGTTTGGTGTGGTTGTTTTTAGAAAAAAACTTTAAAAACCCAAGATGCTCTGCAGATTTTGTTCGAAGCTAACAAATCATCTCACAGTTTTTAAAAATGCAAATTTTTTCCAAAAGTTTAAAATAGTTTAGAAGCCAAAAGAGCTTAAAATTATAGAGTGGTTGTTTTAAGAAAAAAACTAAAAAAAACCCGAGGCGCACAAAATTTTTGAATAGGGTATAAAAATATCTTTAAAATTCCCTAGGTGCCTTGCTTTCTTCTTTGGCATAGTATATTAAAATTTAAATAAAATTTAGATTGCAAGAAAAGAAAATATAAAAAGTTAGCCTTTTAAGTGCATCTATCTACCTATAACCCTAATAAAATTGTGGAAGAAATGTCAATGTCAACAGTGTTCGGCAAATTATTGTAAAGTGTTAGTAGCCCTATGAAGGGACGAATTTTAATCAAGGGAGGGTTTAAGCTGAATTTTCGAAAGGGTCCATTGCCATTAGCTATTCCCTTTTTACCATTTTTTTTTTTTTTTTTTATAAATGGCTCATGGATTTCAAGAATTTTAATCTTTGGGTTGACGGCATGGCCTTCTCGGATGAGATTCACTATTTCAACCTAATCAATTTTGTTTAATATGTATTGGAGAAAATCATCGTGAGGTTTCGACTGTACGTATTTACGTTAGCAGGTCTGTATAGAGCAGAAATACAGGTTGTTAAGATAATAAGCATGCTGAGATGGATGGGAGAATTATCAGACTGGACAAAATTAGAAATTAACGAGTTTTATTTAGAGTTATGCATATAGGTCAAAATATGAAAAATAAAAGTATGGTTGTAAATTTAGATAAGTAAAAAAGAACATAACAGGAATTTTATTTATACAAATAGGCCTATTGGCCTAATTACATGGATATCTTGTAGATATTCTTAAAATATATTTAAATACCGGATTGTAGGACACTGTATTATTTTGTTTAATGAAAAATACATTTATTTATATTGAGGTCTGCAGTAAATAATAGTTGTTGTTATGAAATTTTGAGTCAGCTGTTGTCCAATCCAAAATAAAGAGGTCATTGATTTGATTTGTTAATGGTTACAAGAGATTTTTTCACATTGAGTTTGTAAGGTATTGTATTAAATAAAAAGTAGCACGAGATCGCCGAGAAGAAATATCGGAAGGCAATAAGTTTAAACTTTCCAGGGATTCTATTTTAATATTTATAACTTTGCAGTGACAAGATCTTAAATTCTGACCTAATTTGAGTTTTTCTTACTGTTTTGTAATCCCGCCATTTATGGTCATTTTTAATGTATTTTTTCAATTCATTAATTATTGTTTTATATTCAGGCATCTAGACAAACGCCGCGAATTCAAGTTAGGGTTATGTTATAGTTAAAATAATTGATATTAAAGTTATTAGAGATATAAATAAAAAACAGACTCGATCAAAGAGCTGACATTATTTAGGGTTAACAATGTATAAGTGTACACAAACAAAATGTAACTAATTGTTGATACTGGATGTACCAAAAATAAAGTAGCATCTACATCTACATGATCTTTAAGAAAAAAAAACAACAAACCTTAAAATCACAAACACATCCAAATCCTACACTGTTCTGAAAGCTCAAACACACATAACAATCTTCAAATATTATCCCCAAGTAGGCACGTAACATCCAGAAAAAAACAACAAACGTCAGTCTTCAAATATCAATATACACAGAAATAAACAAACGAACATCAAGAGCACACCGACGACGTTCGGCGAAAAAACGATAGAAAAATGGCAGAAAAACCGCATTCGCCAGTAAATACGAGGAGGAGAGCGCGATTCACAAAACTATGGAGCGAAGCGGCGTGCGAACTTCACTTGTTTTTTTTTTCGTTTTAAGTCCACACCGCCCGCCGCTGATCACTCGGCGTATGGAAGTATGGAGAAAACCGTGCGAAAGAGTGTAGAACAGAAAACGGAATAGAAGGCAGCGACTGCGATGCAGACTGTGTTTGCGCTCTCTGTTAACGGGGCGACGTTGCCACGTCGACGGGACATTTCGTTAAACTTGGAAAGTTTATATAGAGATTAATACTACACACCGCACAAAAATTATACAGGGTGTTATTGAAATACACGTACATATTAAAACTGGGTATTGCGCAGATCCCCACTGAATGTAGAAAAATATTATTTTTTAAAAATACCCCTTATTAAGGGAGTTATTAATTTTTGAAAATTAATTCTAAAACAAACGTACTTCACTGATATGTTGAGGATGACCTATATAAATTAGGTTTATTTACCTATTTTAAACATCAACGGTAATTAATATGCAAGTTTTTGTCAGATGATAAGAAAACTAGTCTTGTAAGAAATAACCATGTTGCCAAGATTTTCGAATTAATTTCTATTTCCGAAGACTGGTTTTTACTACCCTCGTTATCAAAAAACTAGAATATTTGATAAATAATTGTTTTTAAACTATACATTTTTGAAACTATAGATTATTAAAATTTTAGTTGATTTACGAATCTGGCTAACACGAGCGCGTCATTTCTAAGTTGGTAAAAAGTGTTGTTACGATTACTTTTAAATATTTTTTTACGATGCCACTATTTACGAATATTGAACTAACGGATATAGTGCTGGTTTATGGGGCAGCTGGAGAAAATTCTCGGCAAGCACAAATCCTGTATCGCGAACGGTTTCCAAATCGGAGAATTCCGGACTGTCGTACGTTTATTTCAACTGTTCAGCATCTAAGAGACCATGGAAAATTTGAGAGTGTCAATGCAGATCGAGGGAGAACAAGAACACAAAGAACATTGGCGGCCGAAGAAGAAATATTGGAAGCTGTTGAAAACCGGCCTCAATTAAGTTGTAGAAGACTAGGTCTTGAAATTGGAGTGTCCTCATTTGTTGTGTGGCGGACACTTAAAGAACAAGGTTTACATCCTTATCACATCCAAAAAGTCCAGGCCTTATATCCAGGTGATGAAGAAAAGAGAGTGGAGTTTTGTGAATGGATGATTCAAAAATGTGTTGATATTCCTGATTTTCTAAAAATATTATTGTATACTGACGAGGCTTCATTCACTCGTGATGGCGTGTTCAATATGCGTATTGTGCATATTTGGAGTGATGAAAATCCTCACGCCATTAGGGAAACTGGGCATCAAAGAAAATTTTCAATAAATGTTTGGGCTGGCATAATAGATCAGTATTTAATCGGGCCTTATGTTCTCCCGAACAGATTAAATGGGCCAGGATATCTCCACTTTTTAGAAGATATTTTGCCAGTACTCCTAGAAGAGATACCGTTACAATTAAGGCAACGGATGTGGTACCTACTAGATGGCGCTCCTCCTCACTTTGATTTAAACGTACGGCAGTTTTTGAACATTAGATTTCCTCAAAAGTGGATAGGCAGAAATGGACCTACTAAGTGGCCTCCGAGATCTCCGGACTTAAATCCATGCGATTTCTTTTTGTGGGGTCACATGAAACAACTGGTTTATAATGAACCTATTAATAGTGTTGAACAATTAACCAATAAAGTTAATGCGGTAGCCGAGGAACTACGACAAAATCCAAGACTAATTTCTAATGTTCAAAGTTCTTTGGAAAGACGATTGCAAGTGTGTGTAAATAATAATGGACGGCATTTTGAACAATTACTGTAATAAACTTTATTTTGAATTAATTGGTTTTGCTACGGCAACAGTGCAATTTCTATGGGTAAGTTCAATTTCGATTTATTTTACTTCTTTAAATATGGAAACTAGTAGGTCGGAAAAGGGGACTCTTCCCCAATATTTAAATTTTAGAATTTGAAGTTAAAATTGGTGCCAATCGTTTTTGGTCATTACATACTATTCCCCATTTTAATATGTACGTGTATTTCAATAACACCCTGTATATATTAAATATTTTGGCCATGTACTTTTTTAAAAATATTTTTTTTTTTTGGTTTAATTTATATTGAATTTCTCATTTTAAATCAATATGTACAGGGTAAATAAAGAATACCAAAAACGGACATAATAGAATTTATATTGCCTTCGTTACAAAAATTAAATTCTTCGAAATACGTGAAATTTTTTGAAAAATACAATTTTCTTAGTATCTTGTATTGCCTCATCTTGCCCTTATCACAGCCTCCATTCGCCTTGGTAAGCTTTCAAACAATCTATGTATGTATTCTTGCTTCATGCTGTTCCATATTTCGTTTATTACATGTTGAAGCTCATTAAGGGTTTGAATGGAACTTGATGGTGCTGGATCTCCCAACCTAAGTGGTCCCATACTATCCCGCACTATCCCGGCAGCGTGCGGTCTGGCGTTATCGTGCATTAACACAAAATTTTCGCCAATAAAAGGGCCGTATGGCACCACATGAAGTTCTAGAATATCCCTTATGTATCGGTCAGCCATCATCCTACCACTATTAACAGCTACTAACTCCGTTCGCCCATAAAAAGATATTCCTCCCCATACCATTATTGATCCACCTCCAAAACTTTCCCTTTCACGAAAGTTGCATTGGTAATGTCGCTTGCTTGGTCTTCGGTATACTGGCATACGTCTGTCTGAAGAGAACAAACAAAATCTGGACTCGTCTGTAAAGAGGATATTTGACCATTCTTCTACACCCCATCCAGCATGGTCTCTAGCAAATTGTAAACGGCAAACTCTATGTTCTCTACTGGAACCCTTGCACGTATAGCATGCTCTCAAAGACGATTACGTACGGTTTGTACGCAAATCTGAACATTTCGGGTAGCTAAAAGGTCATTCTGGAGCATTCGAGCAGTGCAGTGTCGTGTTCTTAGGGCTGAAAGTCGTAAAAAACGATCCTCTAAAGCTGTTGTAACTCTAGGACGACCTTGGCCCTCTCTTTTAGAGTACCGTCCAGTCTTTCTATGCCTTTGAACAACTCTTGAAATGGTACTCTGTTGTACATCCAATAAATCCGCCACGTACCTTTGACTTCGCCCATCTTCAATCAGCGCAATTACTTTGACGGCTTCTTCATCTGTCAAATGGCGAAATAGACGTTGTGGACCAGCCATAGTATACACCTTTATCGAACAACTTAATATCAAGGCAGAAAACACAGAAATGAACAGCATAATTGCAAAGTGGAATGTATGCCTACCCGCATTCTCCCGAAAAAAAGTAAACAAGAACCTAACAAAAAACAAAAGAAGAAACGACCAGTTTTTTGACTCGAGTTTATCAGTAAAGAATGCCCATTCAGGGAATACTTAAGAAATTTTAAAAATAAATTTACTGTAGCCAAAATATTTAAAAGCATTGGTGATGCGATAATTTTTGTGCGGTGTGTATTTTACAAAAACATTTTTTTTTACTTTCTAACAAATTTCAAAAAAAGGAGGTTCTCAATTCGTCGGAATATTTTTTTAAGTATATTCAGCGATAATTCTTTACCACGTTATCCGATTTCTAAGATTATTTCTTTTATTAGAAAGGGTGTACCTCAGGGGTAGTACCATATAAATTTGGTCAAAATCTGATAGTGGGATCGATGAGAAAATCATCAAACTATTAATTTTTTTATGTATATTCAGCGATAATTATTTACCACATTGTCCAATTTATTTTATTATTTTTTGTTAAAAAGGGGGTACCTTGGGGCGTTATCCCATATACATTAGGACAATATCTAATAACGACAGCTATAAGAAAATCAGCCAACTCAATTTTTGATATCACAGGCAAATTTTGAAGTCGGTTTATACTTATTTTTTTTTACTTGATATTTTGAATAAAACATTTTATTTTCTCAAAAACAGAATAAAATATTTTTTCAAAATTTGCCCATTAGTAACTTATATGATAAGTATGTTAAATGAATTTTTTAAAAATTGATAAAAAAATTCACTCGCAAATAAAATAACGTATTTACTAACAAAAATTATTTGGCTGGTAAAAAAGATAACCATTATTTGCCATACTTAGTGTTGATTTTATAATTTTAGAAGTAACATCGCAGATTTTGTTTATTGTAATATTACAAAAAAAATAAAAAGAATAAAAGGAAAAGTCTTCTGTGGGATTATTCAAGTGTACAGAGTGGAAAAATAATTGCTTTAGCAGGGGTAAGTCATGTCCCGAATATCTATTGCCTTATATTGGATGTTTCACAAGAGGTGGTATCAAAAAGATTCTTAGAAATAGGAAATCTAAGAAACAGATATAAAGGATTCGTGGAAGAGTTACTACCGGGCAACGAGACCGATATTTAGCTCAAATTGCTAGAAGAAATCCAACGGTAAAACCTATTTGAGATCCTTAGAAGTAGGAAATCTAAGAAACAGATATAGAAGTAAACGAAGATTTAATATATTGCTTTGTAACTTTTTCACTACAGTCTGTTCGCTATACTTACACGGGTTTCGGATTAACAAAATTATGCAAATTAATCATTGACAACCAGTTCCAATAAGCCTCTTCCCAAGAAATTAGGTAAAATTGCCCTAATGGTCAGATTTAAATTAAAATAACATTAGGGTAGGTACTAAATTTGTTACAAATATTGCAGTTGAATTGATTCTTTGGAAGTGTTGATATTGTATGTATATTGTAAATTTAGTGGAAATTTTAAAAATGCCTAGACGTGTGTTAGATGCAGATAGTCTAATTTGTAAGTATTTTACGGATGAAAAAGAAAATGGCAGTCCTTTAAAATCGGTAATGTCTGTACAACAACGCGTATGCGATGCTTTAGGAATTAGTGAAACCAAATTAAGAGGAGTATTACAAAATCACAATAGTGAACTGCCGAAAAAAGATCACCGCAAAACTAGCCCATCATTGAAAACGAAATGTATTCCGGATGCAAAGAAATTTGAAATTCGTGATACCATTTATCAAATGAGGGCCAACAAGGAACA